GCTACCGATGAAGAGTCCCAAACTGGACGAAACAGCTGTCCAGTACTCCCTAGTTTCCTAATGGTTCTCCAACTGATGTCTGCTCATGATCAAAACTTTAATTTTTAGTTAGTCGGATTATTAGCTAAGTATTTTACTTGGAACAGATAATGTGCATTATGAAAAATTCTATTTAAATTAAACCGCATCATCATATGAATGTCATTGAACTAGTTTTTATATATGATTGTCAGTATATATATTTCTATTTAGTCACTGTTACACTGTTTAACAGTAATAAGGAAGTTATCTTAAAATCTTAAATTGACATCATTGTGAGTGTATTTTTATCGCTTTGTCGTCATACGCACAGAAAGTCCATACATAATATATACATTATCATATTGAACAATATTTTCATTGTCATGTGTATAAGATAGGTCGATAAATAATTGTTAATGTCTTGATCCACTACTAATTAGGCTCGTCAGTAAGTGTTCGATCTAAGTTTTACATATATTTTCAAGTATTGGTTTTGCAGGGATTTCGTTTGATTGGCTGGAGGATTTCATCATAAGCTGACATCAGTTAGAGAACCACTGGAAAACCATCTAGGTAGTACTGGACAGCTGTTTCTTCGTAGTCTGCAACTCTTCAGCAGTACGCACACACCACCAGGGTTCCAACCCACGACCTTCTGGTTACAAGGCTAGCGACCTCGTAGACCATTCAGCCACTGGGACCCGGTCCAATGGCCAGCCCATGAATTCTAACTTCTGCCAATTCATGACATAGCGTGACCATTTCGCAATGTCTTCTTCGATGACCTACAGCCTCATCTTCAACCTGCTGTACCCTATATATATATATATGTATTGGCGTAGTTGTGTTCTCTGAGCGGGATGGTTTATTTGTTTGCGAAGCTTTCATTGCCTTACCAGGCAATATCTTCAGCTCATACACTTCAGTTTGAAGTGAGCTTTTACATTTCTCCATATCAGCTCTCCTGGTAGGTAACCGTGAACGTGATTAGCTGTTTTTGTGTGTTTTCAAAACCTCTCGGCTACTTGTATTGCTACAGATTGTTTCCTTGACCTGAAGTTTGACCCTTTGTGTGTGAGATTTCCTTCTTATCGATTGGTAAATTTTGTCTATGTCGATGTATCTAATAACTGACGATTCACTGGAATATCAGGAGGCTTCTAAAAATTCCTCTGGCATTCTTGGTGTTTCTTCTCTCTAATATTTGAACGTTGTCCCAGTCGAATTGATGTGCGTGCTTGTCTGTATGCAGTGAGGCGATATGAATGAGGGAGTGGATGTCATGTCTTTTGACGGCTAGTTTATGATCATGGATACGAAGACGAAGAGGGGAACGTCCACTTTGGCTCGCCTCGTAACATGAAGGTTCTGAGTTTGATTCTTCGTGGAATGACAGGTATGCACTACCGAAAAGCACCAAAGAAGGATGCGACAATAGTACAGTACGCCATGATTTTTTCTTTCTTTAGTTCTCTAAATGAGATCAGTTGGTGATAAGTTTTGAAAGCTATAAAATTAGTCTGGGTTAATGGTCAAATCAACGAGACTGATTGATTGTATAACGTCAAGTGTTTGGTTGCATAAGGTCGAGGATTTAGTATGAGGCTAAAGGTTCTCCAGTCTGTTTTTAAACAAACATTTGAAGTTGAAACACGAAGTCCTTCACCTCTGCAGCTAAATGACTTCAAATATCTATACTCGTTTGAGCTATGTCCTATCCATGGTATCATTGGCAGAACAAACTTCAGAAAGAAGTCACCTTTTGGGTTATTTTTGTACTAGGTTTTCTGATACCCTACCCAGATGGCCTGGATTTTTTTATATTTTATTTCATAGACGATGTTTTCCATGGACGCACTTTGGTCGGTTATTTTCCTGAAGTTATCTCCGATCTTGTAGTTATTTCATCCATTTCTAATTAGTTAACAGAGTCAGTTTTATTGGTTGGAGGATTTCATTATGAGCCGACATTAGTTATAGAACCATTGGAGTACTGGACAGCCAACTATTTCGTCAGCCTAGTTCGGAACCCCGATTCAGCAGTACGCACTCACCGACAGGGTTCGAAACCAGGACCTTCTGGTTACAAGGCTAGCGACTTCGTCGACCATTCATCAGCCACTGGGACCCAATCCAATGGCTAACCCATCAATTCTTACTTCTGCCAATCCACTACATAGCGCGACCACCTCGCAATGTCTTCTTCTATGAGTTACTGCCTCATTTTCAACCTGCTGTCACTCTTATGGTCACGGATTTCCGCTAAAACCCCAGGTAACTTTCTGAATTGGTCCAGTCGCTAGTGAGCATTATTCTGATACTCCTGCAACCAATCAAACAAAAATTCCCTATAAAAACAATACTTGAGTATCAGTTTTAGTTGATATGTCTACTGAATTCACACTGACTGTGGTATAAAGTCTCCAAATATCCTATAATTTCTCATTTATATGAATTTTTCTGGACAGCTAAGGTCATAAATTTATTTAGCTAGAAACAGGGATTGCTCGGAATACTAGAACGTAAGATATCATCACATGTGACGTCATCCTCGTGATACGGCTGTGGAAAATTCTAATAAATTTAGTATAGACATGTTAAGACCATAAGAGATCCTCATCTCTGGCTCTACTCTAATATATATATATATGTATATATATATATATATAGCATTTTTGTTACAATACACAACAATATACCAATCAAGTGGCACTGATATCTTTGTTAACAATAATTAGTCAGTGTCAAAATACCAATGGGTTGATAATAAACGAAGAAAATCAATACACATTTAAAAGGTAGAAATGGTTAGAATAAATTAATTTTACAAGGATAACACGTAATTAAAGATGAAGTGGTCAAAATAAATATAAATAAAATAATTTGGACAATTATAATTTTTATAATTTTAAAGGTTTTAGAGGGAGAGGGGCGAAGTAGTCCGGTTTATATATTCATGTGATGATAGCCACGGTAAGGAAAGTGGCTGTACAAATTTCTTCTGAACACACATAGGCTTGGCTTCTTCAGGTGGATTCCTATTGCTTCAGCTGTCTGTAGAAGACAAACTCGTAGAGCAAAATTAAGATTAGTAGGAATGCGATAAATAATTTTAAATGCAGTATTAACGTCAACCTTATGCTCACTATCTATAAAGTGTGCTAAAATAGAGCTACAAATAGATCTTGTTTGTCCCTTGCTTAACCATGTTGGATGATGTTCGGAAATACGATGATGAACCTGTCTAATTGTACGCCCAATGTACCTGGCTCCGCAGCTGCAGTCAAACTGGTAGATACACATAGAGGAGGAGGCAAATTTAGGTAGTTTATCCTTATTTCTCGAACGTAGAATAGGGGTGGTTGTGAAGAGACAACGTACCTCTGCTGCATAATTAGCTCTTTTAGCTGCATTCTTCAAGCGCTGTGTTATTATTTCGCTGATGTTGTCTCCGACTCTCCTTGGTGCTGAATTCATATTTTTCTCAATGAATTTATCTGGATAACCATTTTTTCTAAGTAATTCTCTAAGTAATTCTAATCCAATCTAATAATTCTTTTGTATACAAAGGTCTGGCTTTTCTATTTCGACAGCCAAACCTTCAGTAATACAGTGGTGTTGGAAATATAATAATTTGGAGAGATCACTTTTTGTCTTGTGGATAACTTTAAAGAAGGAGTCTGCAAAGATACTGTGGTGACTGGTCTCGACCAGATGTTCAATGACCGCAATTCTTGTAGCCCTACTTCCGTATTTTTTTCATAATTTTGCAAGATAGTGTTGTTGAATTCATGTGGACGAAAAACACGCCTTGAAAAACGACTTTTCGCGAATTCACTTGTTTCAGTATCAGTTTGTTTATTAGATATATCACACTTTGAAACAGTATTATTTACTGGATGACAAGGTTTCAAACACAATTTATTGCTCATAGTCATATCAATTGTGATCACACGACTTTGACACTTGAGTTTTATAGTTTTCTTTGTTTTCTCGTATTTGTCGTAGGGGTAGTAGAATTTTCCAGATATCTAGGTGAACGGGTGTTGAATCATTGTTATTACACGTATTTGCAGTTGACTCGATAACCAAAGCTTGCTTCTGTTATCAATCTCGCCCTCCACCCTGCTACATTAGGTTTTAAAATTGTCATCTTATCCCCTCCAGTTGTATGGTTGAATGTAATTGCATGTGGTATAGTGCTATGTCTGAACTATTCTCTAGATTTCTTATTTTATTCGGGTCAACTAATCTAGATTTAGCTGCTAGGTTTTTATGCAAATACATAGGTCAAAGTAGTAGAAAAGGGGCAGTCAGACTAGCCGAACATGAAAACCTAGCAAAATCTAGATTAGTTGACCCGCATAAAATAAGAAATCCAGAGAATAGTTCAGTTATACCATTCACAACATGCAATTACACACAACCATACAATAGGATGAGATAGGGTAAGATGACTGTTTTAAAATCTAATGTAACAAGGTGGAGGGAGAGATTAATAACAGAAGCAAGCTTTGTTTATCGAATCAACTGCAAATACGTGTAATAGGAGTGAATCATCACCTGTCCCCGATATCTGGAAAATTCTACTACCCCTACGACAAATACGAGAAAACAAATAAAACTATAAAACCCAAGTGTCAAAGTCGTGTGATCACAATTGATATGATTATGAACAATAAATTTTGTTCGAAACGTCATCCAGTAAATAATACTGTTTCACTGTGTGATATATCTAATGAACAAACTAATATGGAATTACTTACTACCACAGTGCCCAAGTTTTACGTATATATTAATTTCACTTGTTTCAATTTTCTGAAAGGAATGCGGTAACAATTTATTCTCCTATCTACCCAAGTTCATCCCTTCTTTATCACTCGCCTCTTTCTGTTTTGTTTTCTCTCTTTCGATTGTATCTACGGTAAATCACCGACGCATTTTCTCGATCAAAAATATGAAAATCAAAACAAAAATAGGATTTCTTAATCTTTCAAATTTGCCTATCACTTGTCGCATTGGCCTATCTACAATCATTAATATGCTATTATGATCGTAAAGAGAATTTACGCCGGAAACATGAATTAATGTTTATGAATCAAGTGAATGAGGCTAGACGTATGTGGTCAGATCAAAGTCTATCAGATACAGAGAATAATGATGTCGACGCGGAAGGTGGTGATCAACATCAGCAGCAGCCTCATCATCATTGGGATATGGAGGTGAGAAAGAATGACGATAAACTACGCCTAGTCACTTTCAATGATCCACAAGAAATAGTTAATACTGAGTCGAATGTTATTACTGCTATTCCAAAATCCGTTGATTCGTCGAATATAAAAAGTGAGTGGAACGCATTTTTATTGGGTATTTTTTTTTAAAATCTTCATTTCTCGGTAATTAGACCAGTTGGGCATCGGATCAGGTCTCAGTGGCTTAATAATCAATGGGCTTGCTTAGTAACCAGAAGGTCCTGGGTTCGAAATTCAGTGGGCGCGCACTGATTAAGAGTCCCAAACTGGGACGAAACAGCTGGCTGTCTAGTACTCCCTGCATGTAACCCCAACTGATGTAACTTCATGGTGAAATCTTGAAATCAATCAAATTCCTGCAAACCAACACTAAACTGTTCCAGTGGTTGAATGGACCCGGATATTGCCTCGTCATCTGGAGGTCCTGGGTCCAATCCTTGGTGGTGTTATGTCAGCTTACCACTACAGAGTCTCAAACCAAAACGAAACGGCTGTCCAGTACTCCCTGGTTTTCAATGGAAGCACACTGTAATTAATGTAACCTTGTGTATCATGTTCTTTGAGGTTTCGTGATTCATTAACAGCAGATAGATTATTATTATTATTGTTAACTTGGGTTCCTAGTGGAACATAGGACTTCAACTGCACGTCTCCACTTGCTTCTGCTTTCTGCTGTACTTTTCACTTGCACCCATGTTAATCCATACTGTTTCAGTTTCTCTTTACACGATCTCCTCCATGTCATCTTGGACGTCCCACTCGTCACTTCCCTTTCGGGTTCCACTCAAGCACTGGCCTGACGCGCGATGTCACCCAGCGACCTCCTCAGCGAGTGTTCAATCCATCTACACTTTCTCCTGCATATTTGTTGGGCGATCGGTTCTTGTTTTGTTTGTTCTCATAGTTTCTTGTTGGTGATTCTTTCCGGCGGCCATTTGATCTTCAGTATAGAGCGAAGACAGTTGTTGATAAAGGTCTGCAACAGGCTGTTGGATATATTCTTTGTGACTCGCCAAGTTTCTGATCCGTAGGTATAGAAGAACTGACTGACTTGACGTTTGTACTGAAAATCTGAATTTTGTTGTTGATGCTGAGTTGAGTGATGAAGATTTCCAGATTGGTTTCAGGTTGATGAATGTGTTTCTCGCCTTCTCGATTGTCGATTTGACATCCTCGTCCGTTCCTCCTGTAGTTGAGACAATGCTCCCTAGATAAGTGAATGAAGTAACCTCTTTCAAATCGCTCCCGTTGATGATGATTGGCGCTGGATTTTGCTGCTGTTGTTGCTGTTGTCGGTTGGTTGGTTATTTTCATAACCTCCGTCTTGTCTATGTTCACCTGGAGTCCTGTCTTTGCTGCTTCTTCGACCAGTTTGTCGGTTTTCGCTTGTATGTCTTCGATATTGTGTGACATCAAACATAAGTCATCCTCGCCTAGATTACTAGCTCACTAGTTTTCTAGCCGGTCCCAAGCCCGGATAAAGAGGGAGGGTTGGGGTGTGGTGCTAGCAACTCCACCCCCGAAACTTAACCAAATTGCTACAGAAACTTCAATGCACAAATATATTAAAAATTCTAAAAACATAAATAGCAGATAAATGAGTATTCTGAAAACGTTACTTTGCCGATATGAATCTAAAACAATCAGCAGATGTGTTAATAAAGCAGGACTTCATTATTAACTGATATAAGATAGAGGACCATTGGAAAACCATCAAGGAGTACTGGGCAGCTTTTTCGTCCCACTTTAGGACACCTTATCAGTACGCATCCACTTGAGTTCGTATCCAGGACCTTCTGGTTACAAGGCGCTCTGGTAGACCCTTTAAGCCATTGGGACCCGATCCAGTGGACAAACTGTGAATTCTAGTTTCTGCCAATTCATGATATAGCACGACCACTAGCGAATGTCATTGCTGGCGAGTATTTGTCTTCACACCCGACCTACTGTTCGCCACTTGTCACGACTTTTCACCAGAACCCAGGTAGTCACCTACCTGAATAGGCCCAGTCACTTGTGAGCATCAGTGTGTACTGATGGAGAGTTCCAAACTAGGTTGAAGAAACAGCTGTCCAGTACTCCCTACAGGTTTTCCAATGGTCCTCTGGCTAGTGTCAGCTCATGATGAAATCCTGTAACCAATCAATCAAACCCCTGCAAACCAACACTTGAAAGTAGGATTTACTGAATTCACCATATTTTGGGAGAAGAATTGCTCCTCAGCTGAATACTCTACATACTGTGACATGTGATTACTTTCAAAAATACATTTGGAAGTATATGACTGGTGAACCAATCACACCAAACAACGGGTGCGAATGTCTTACAGGTCAGCGTCAGACAGATAAGAGGGGCAAAGAGGTGAGAGATTTCAATTAAGAATATAAGAGGTTATGGGCCAATTGCACCATTTAAGTAGATGTTTAGTTATTGGAGAAAGGGCATAAAAAAGTCGACAATTACAAAATGAATAACCAATTATTATCAAGCTATTACGGATGATTCTAATGACAAAAGATAGTTTTAAGTGAGTGAATAATAAAATGTTGAAGATAATAATAATAACGATTAATAAGTAAGAGATATACCCATTGTAGATTCAAAGTGACCACTATTTCCTACTGTACACATAGATCAGTTATATAAACATTAGTTGCCCTGGCCTCGTCATCTGCAAGTATCTTCCGTTTGTTTATCTGCTGACAACTGTAAATGACTTGACAGTGCCAGTATCATTTCCGTCGGCCACAAGATACTTTGTTATTGAACTCGCTGCTACTTTTAACTCAGTCTTTTTCAACTTTTTGGGCGAACGATCCATTATGCAGGGAGACAAGTGCGTTTCCATATGACCAATGTATTTGCATACACATATACACTCACAGTGATATATGCGATCAGCAGTGTTGAAGATTGGAAGCCGGTCTTTCTCAGATTGTTGAAGCAGCCGTTTAGCGTCATCAATGATGAGTGAAAACTTGGCAGGATGATAAGTTCTTCGAATAGTTTTATCGAGTTTTCCTTTGAATACTTCTTGTACATCATCTCCTTTATATGGTAGACTAATGTATACAGCTTTCTTCGACACAGTTCCAATAGTTTTACTGCCTCTTATTTCCTTAGGATATATATATATATTGACAAGCCTCTCAGGACATCGGTTCTTAGATAAAATACCCTTCAGAATGTTTATTTAAAATCCAGTTGAACTGTCAGAACAAACTCTCTGTAATCTGTTGAACAGTGTTCTGACTAGATTCTTATTATTCTGTCTGCGAACAAACCTCTTACAATGTATGTAATATCCCGTCCGTTAAACTCTTTAGATGTGAACCTTTCTATCTGGTCTTCAATCGTTTTGACTGCAGCAACATCTGGGAATCTATTAGTATCGTTTTCCCGATGTCCTGTTGTACAGTTTAGAGGAGGACGGCATGATTTGAATTCCATCCATAAGATTTCTGTCACAAAATATCAGCTTCTAGACCTGATAAGAACAAGTCTATAATAAATGGGCCCAAACGGTTTCTTACTGCAACGCCATTAACTTGATAGAATAGCTGGCCTGCGAATAGACACTGGATATCTTTAATGCATAAAACTAGCAATTTTCTCAGTACCATTGTTGGAAAAATAGTCTCAACCACTGGAACATTTATAAATGGAGAGCTGGACGTAAACAGTAAAGAGAAAATTTTCTTTTCGATGATTTATTTACATAAGCTGTACTGACAGAATTCAGTCTGCACCAAAGATAAGACTAGACAGATTACCCTAGTTACTGACTAGTGCCCAATAATAATAATTTGCTTTATTGCAAAACAGTACTTGTGATACAGAATGGAATTCTCAGCATTTTTACTACAGTATTGCATCCAGTTAGTACATTATCAATAAATAAAATTCTACATAGATTAAGGAAATCTCAGTTCATTATGACAACAACATATTGGCGTGTTGGTAGCAAAGCCAAAGTTGAACAGTGTTTGAAGGTGTTAGAAAAGTAGATACTAGCATATTTACGGGCGTAAGCGAGAGAAAGAAACAAAGCAGCACATAACACAGAAAAAAGAGAGAGAAAAGGAAAGTAAAGAAAGAAAACGTTGTACCTATAAATGATATGAGTTGGAAAGACGAGATCGAGTTGTACTACTGACTACTTAATGAATTATAGGTGTCACGCCTAATGCTTTCTTTATCACATAGAACACGAGCTAAGTAGGGTATGGTTGAGTTTTTGTACTTTCTGGTGCGAGCATATAGTTTTCTATATAGGCTTCTGGTTTTGCCTGATGAGATGCAAGGGGAGAGTTGTGAGTGAAGAGGGTGGTGTGAGTTAGACAAAAATGGATTTGGCCCATTTTGCACATGAGTCCATGTGCCTGTCAACCAGAATATTAACAAGCTGGTTGAGCGGCACGTTGCTTACCCTGCTGACAACCTTTAACATCCTGCGTAATATGTTATAGTCTTTCTTTATACATATATATATGTATATACATAAATAAATGTCAAGATAGACAAGATTTTCACCAGTTATTTTAAGATCCGCAGCGTTGTAGACACACTGGAATGAACCGAAGGCAATATGTATTCCAAAACGTGTGTGTAGCACATCACAAACATATAATCTAGATCTTCTACAGCTAAGAAATCTTCGCTCAAATGAAAAAATTGCCATACTTTGATCACATAAGATATATATCCCTATTCTGAGGCACATTCAACCTCTATATGATGATGCCATATGCTAAGTTACTCAAAACTAACACCTCAACGAAGCCTTTGAAGTGAAGGCAAGTAAGTAAGACAAAATGGGCATATAGAAGGCTGACGAAAGCACCCTAGAAAACCTCTGTTCTGCTTCAGAAACTCGAAGATTGACAAGGGGGGACCAACAGGAGTTGAAGTAAACATAGAGATGACAGCCGATGAATATGCCTAACCGAAAAATAACAAACACCAATCGTCAACATTGAGGGAAGTTCAAGGGAACTTGTGTGTCATCAGAAGCATTTCCAACAGACTGCAGTCTTTCATTAACACACACTTTCATCCGAAAGTGAAGATCAGATCCTTAGTTGTAAAGAA